TCGCCGCCGAGACATGCTCAACCAAAGCCCCGAGCCGAACCTGGAGTTCAGGGACAGCGTTTTGACCCCGAGGTTCGATGTTCCAGGTTTTCGGGCGTTTCCGTCGGTTCTCGGCGGTTCTTCGGCCCCGGGGTGCGTTCCAGCAGCTGCGCCTCGCCGAGAGCGTCCTGGGGGTGCATGGATCGTCCCCAACGGCCGCCAGATGGCCGAGTTCTGGCCCGAAAGCCATGGGCAACGTCGGGGCGGGATAGGCTCAGGGGGGGATCGATCATCGACCTCCAATCGCCCGTTGATCGCCGACAGGGGCCCGACGGCTCCACCCCGCCCAGTAACGTGCGGATGCGCTGTCGGGGGCCTGTCGCTGCTGTCTCGGCGACGTGCCGCCGATTCCAAGTCGATGCTTCTCCCCCCGATCGGTCCAGACGAAAGGGCAGGATGGGAAAGGGGGGTCTACGAAGTCTGCTGCATGCAGCTTGTTTTCGCCCCGCCGCCGGGCCCATTCCCTGATAAATGGGCTCTGCTGTCCTACCCTTTCGTCCCCCCCGGCCTGAGCTGGTCCCTCCTGCCGTTGCCCCCGCAGGAGTGGGACGTCCAGGGCGACCGCCTGGTCGGCCGGGCGACGGATGCCGTGCCGGAGGGGGGCGAGCTGTTCATCCCGAGGAATAAGCAGCGGCATCGACAGATGTATCGAGTAGGAGATCGACTACAGAACTCATGTACCCCAAAATTGAACTTCTCGTCGGATCGACGGAATTTACGTGTACTGTTTGTAGCTTGCGAGCGGTTTTGCACAGTGTTTCGCAGATCCGACGAGGAACTCAATCTTGGGGGTAAATCAGTTCTGCAGTCGATCCCATCATTCGAAACATCTATAGATCTTCGGAGCTCCGCGCGGATTTCTCGGATCGGCGCTGGGCCCTAATTACTCCCCCTGGCGCGCCCGAGCGCGCCAGGGGGCGGCGCTCCGGAGGCGCTGTCATAGGGGGGGCTCCCTGCGCCGACCCTCGCGGAAGTCCGCGCGGGGCCCTGACAATTCATGCTCGTTCGCGAGCAAGTCATGGGACCCTGATGTGTTCACCTTAGGCGATGCTTAAGAAAACCCAAGGTTTCGGCCAGAGTCTCGATTATTCTTAATGTTTCAATGTAGATCCTAAGATTTGAATAGACATTCTGGATGTTTATTCAAATTCTGAGACTATGAATTTCTTAACCCATGATTTCTAAAGCATTTCGCAGGGTGTATCATCTTTGGTTCCGCCTTTAGAGTCGATGAGCGTCCGGGAGTCGAGGAGATAGTTAGCGCCGACATCCGCGTCGGTGAGCGTCGATTCGAGTTGTCTTTGGCGTCGATGACTGTAGATTCAGCGTCGATGGCCGCCGATTCCGACAAGATGGTAGGAGAGGTTCCCATGAGTTGCCACCGAGTGCCTGTGCCGTGTTTTTTTCCTCGGTCCTCCGCTACCGCGGCGCGGCATCCCCGCAGGCCTTCTTCGCGACCTACGGCTTCGTGGAGCAGGTGGGCTGTGAGCAAGAGTGTCCCTTCGCCGGAGGGACTTTCGGTGCGGGCTCAGGGCCCCCCCGCCCAGCACTGCTCGGGGGTGGACAGAACCCCCAACAGTGACACGTCGATTAGTGAATTGTCCGTTTTCGGTTCTCGAGAGGGCGCCGTGGCCGTTATTTTCCAGGCTTGCGCCCGCCAGGTTTGGGCCTCAGGTCGTTTTCACTAAACGACGTTTTACTAAAGGGGGGTCTGTCCATCCCCGAATTGCTCTTGCGCGCTTGGATTTGGCGTACCTGCGGCTCCCTGAGCCGCGCACCAGGGCCTCCAGAGGCCTGCACGGGCCGCACCGCTGGCGGCGCCGCCCGAGCGTGCCGGGCCGCACGCGAGCGCGGCAGGCGCAGCCGAGCGGGCCGAGCTGCGCGGCACTCTGCAATGGCTCCGGGGCCTGATTTCGCGGCACTCTCGCTTGGGATCAGTCTTGCCTGGAGGGTAGGTTCGCGTCGTGTCGACCAGCGGCGACCCCGCCGCCCGCGTTCAACCTTGAACGCCGCCGGCGACCCAGAATCGGTCGATGCTGAACGAGCTGACGCTTCGGAAATGGCCGATTGTTCAAGGTTGGACGTTCCCCGCGGTGTCGGGAACCAACGCCGGGGTCGACACGACACGAACCTGGGGCCCTTTGGGGCCCTCCTGGGGCCCTCTGGGGCCCTCCTGGGACCCTCTGGGCCTCGTGAGGGCTTCTCTGGAGGCCGTGGGGGCCTCCTTGGAGATCCTGGGGGCACCTTGGGCCAGGGGCACTCCTGGCGGCACTCGAGATTTCGGGGCACTCTTGCCTGGGGATCAGTCTTGCGTGTAGTCGAGCAGGGCAGCTGCACCGTGCCGGCGGAGCTGCAGCCGCCCTGGTTGCTGCCGCAGGGCGGCCGCTGGCCAGCGGTGCGCCCCTGCTCCGGCGCGTCGGTGCGGCGGCTGCTCTCCCGGCTGCGCGTGGCCGCGGCGTCGGCGGAGGAGTTCGGAGGATATCAAGAGCGACGTGGGCGGCCAGCTCTCGCGCGCCGGGAGGGACTCCCCCAGGGCCCCAGGGAAGGCCCGGCCACGGCCGCGCCGAGGTTCGCGGTGCGACCAGAGTCGCGCTGCCGGGTGCTGCCCCCCCGCGTGGCACTCCTCCTCTCGCCCCCCCACCCGCCAGGCGCCCCGGTGGCGCCTGGCGTCCCTGCCCCCCCCCTTGGGTGCACCCAAGACGCTGAAATGAGGACCGCTGTGGGCTCAGGAGGGGTTCTACTTTCCGGGCCGTTCCTTCGACTTTCTGCAGTGGAGCTCGTTTGTGGCCTGGGCCCGCAATGGCCAGAAACAGCTCCTTTGTTCCTTATGATGCGTTCCTTATGGTAGCGCGAGGCTCTGCTGGGATGGGCGGGGGGTGGGTGCTACGGGCAGAGGGGGGTTATCAGTGGATGCCACGGTGACCTAGCGCTAGCTTATGAGTGGGTGGGTTACAAATGTCCCAATTGGCCTGGGGGGTAACGATCTGGGATAAGTGGGCTCCGCCCACTGACTGTAGTTACTTAACCCCCTGAGCCGCTTGGGGCAGTCGAATCCTACTTCTAAGCCAGGTTAGGCCATAAATGAGCCACATTGGCATCGACCGATCACCCCCTCTGCCCTCGTCAACCCCGCCGCGCCCATCCCAGTAGGTGGCCTTCGGGGGGGGGGCCCTCGACGCTACGGCTGGACGCAGCTAGGAAAACTAGTGCGTTCGGACTCCCAGAGGGGTCTGGGGACCAGTGCCCTCCAAGGTGCCCCCAGGAATTTCAAGGAGACCTCCACGGCCACTGGAGCACCCCTCACGAGGCCCAGAGGGTCGCAGGGGCTCCAGAATTGAGCGAAGAGCTGGGGGCACCCTGGGCCAGGGGCACCTCTAGCAACCTCTGATCTTGAGCCACCGTTGTCGGGCCGAGGAGGCGCAAGTGTGACTGAAGGCGAGCGGATTGGCGACGGGCCATGCTTCCACACCACGGCATCGGCGCGCTCCGTCGCCGAACCAGGCGGCACTGGCCTCATGTTCCGGTGGCAGGCACTCCCCCGATCCGTGGATCTGGCTCCCACGCGCCCGATCCGCGGATCCCTGCTCCGTGTTCGCGCCCTGCTCCGAGGAGAGGTCGCGCCTGGAGGCCTCGGGCTTGCCGCCCGAGGACGCCGCGAGGCTGCCCCTGAGCCTGCGCAGCGAGCGCGCCGCGCTCGAGGAGCTGCGGTCTCGCCTGGCCGCGCGGGCCGGCGGCGGCGCGGGCGGGGCCGCAGAGGTGCCGCCCGCGACGCCGGCCGTGGCCGCGCTGCGGGGCGCGGAGGATCAGTCAGGGGCAGGCGTTCTTGGCGGTTCTCGGCGGTTCTCCGGCCTCGGGGTGCGTTGCAGGATCGTCCCGAACGGCCGCCAGATGGCCAAGTTCTGGCCGGGAAACCAGGGGGCAACGACAGGGCGGGATCACTCATCGACCTCCACTCGCCCATAGATCGCCGACATGGGCCCGATAGCTCCACCCCGCCCCGGAACCTGCGGATTCGCCGTCGCAGGCCTATCGCCGATGTCGCGGCGATGTATCGCCGACTCCAAGTCGATGTTTCCCCTCCTGACAAGGCCGGACGAACGGGCAGGATATGGAAAGGGGGTTCTATACGACATTTGCTGCATGCAGCTTGTTTCCGCCCGATGGCCTCAAGCTGCCCCGAAAGGTTCGGATTCGCCGTCGGGGGTCTGCCGCCTGTCTATCGGCGACGTGTCGCCGATTCCAGATGAAGGCGTCCCTCTGTGTGCCAGTCCCCCATATCGTTGGAGCCTCATGCCGACACCGCTGCCCTCGGAGTCCCAGAGGCTGGCTAGCAGGGCCAATACTCATAGGTCGTTGAAAGTAAGTATTTCTGGGTGTCTAGATCCCAATCTATCCCAAGCGCCCTCCTACTTCAAGGTTCGATCTTTTTTGGCCGTGTTTTGTTATTATCTGGGAGGGCCTGAACCCAATCTACCGTGTCCGCATTTCTACTTTATGTTTTTTTACTTACCTTTTCAGACCGACGGGTATCGGCGGTGTACCTCCACCGAGGGGAGTTGGTCCCGAGCTCAGTGATGGTGGTCATATTCGGGCTTCTTGGCAGCTACACTATTTTCACCAACGCCAGAATCTAGGATCATCCTCCCCTGGTGGACGCAGCCCCCTGTCTTGACGTTGGTGCTCATTTCTGGGCCTCCAGTACCCTTCCCCGTCTCCGCCTTGTTGGGCCCGCTGGGAGGCTCTGGCTGCCACGGTTGGATTCGCGTCTGGGCAGAAGTGGTGTCGGTTTTCGAATGGCCTTCGGCCCACGGTCCTGCCCGCCACCAGGCCTGGGTCTGTGGGTCAGTGTCTTCCGGGCTAGCTGTTGGGGTCTGACGGGCCTCTTGGGGCCTCCGGGGGGCCTCCTGTGGGCCTCCGCGGGCCTCTTGGGCCGGTGTCCGCACGTGCTGGCTCCTCCAGAGGAGGCGGGCTGGCGGCGGCTCGACGAGTTCGCTGCCGGGCTGCTGGCCGAGCTGGGCGGCGCGGGGGGCCTCGAGAGCTTCGAGGCCCCCGGGGGCGCGTGCCGGGTCGCCGTGCTCGTGCACAGGGCGATGCGCGCCCTGGCGGGGGCGGGCGCCGCCGACGACGAGTACTTCGCGGCGGGCATCGTGGAGCTGAGGGATGCCGGAGGCGTCAAGGGTCGGGGCTACTACGCGCGCGAGGACACCGGCGCCGGGACGCTGCTGCTGGCGGAGCAGCCGCTGGTGCTGGATGCGGGCGAGGACGATTTTTGCGGCGTGGCCGCGGCGATTGTGCTCGGGCTGCGGGGCGAGGCGGAGCTGAGGCCCGCGCCTGGGGACGGGGGCAGCAGCGCGGGCGACGCCGAGCAGGCCGCTCGCTGGCTCGGGGCGGTGGACGGGGCGGGCGCGGAGGCCGCGGCGCGTGCCCTGGCCGCGGCACGCAACAACGGGTTCAGCACGTCGCTGGAGGGCGCGGGCGAGGAGGAGCAGCCGATGCTCCTCTTCCAGAGGCTCTGCATCTTCAATCACTCCTGCGCGCCCAACTGCGCCGTGTACCGCGACGAGGCCACGGGCTTCACGCACGTGCTGGTCATCCGCCCCGTGAAGAGGGGGGCGGAGTTCATGATCCACTATCTGGACGAGCTCTTCCTGCTGCCCACGAGCCTCCGGCAGAGCTTCCTGCAGGGCCGCTTCGGCTTCGAGTGCGCCTGCCCGCGGTGCGAGGGCTGGGACGAGGCCTCCTGCGCGGTGGAGGCCCTGCTCAACCGCACCGCGGACTTCCCGCACGGGGAGGCGGCCGGGCGCCTGCACGCCATGCGCCGCGCGCACGCCTCGCTGTGCCACGTGGAGAAGGAGGGCGGCCTGCCCGTGGGCTTCGCGTTCCGGACCTTCGAGCACTGGGCGCAGGCACTGGCCGCGGCCGACGCCGCCCTGTCCGACATCGCGCAGTACGGCTCGAAGGAGCAAGGGCGGCATAAGCATCGACGCTCGGAGTCGCCGCCCACCAAGCCACCCCCAACCCAGCCCGAAGGCCCCCATTTTGCCCTCCTCTCCCAGTGTGGGGGGGCGTCGGGGAACATTCAGAGGGCAACAACATATGTACATGTACGCGGTTTGTTTCCGCCGAATCGCGTTTGGACGCGGAGGTTCGTGCACGCAAGACCGCGGAGGGCGTACATGTACACATGTCGTTGCTCGCTCGAACATCGAGAAAACACGCGCCCCCGTAATTTCCCCCCCCCGGAGGCGACGCGCGCACCGAGAAATCTTATAGTATATGCGTCGTGGGGGGCGCTTTCTGGCCACACCGCTCGGGAAACGATATACTACAAGATGGGTATACTATATGTTCGGGTCGGACGCGCGCCTCCAAGGAGGACATATAGTACTAGTATGTATTTGTGCTTCCCAGGGAACACTGAGACAACACGCGCACCCGTCATTTCCGCCCCCCCCCCCCCCAACCCGAAAGTGGGGTCGTCGGGTTGGGTTGGGGGGTGTCTTGGTGGGTATAGCCACGGAGCTCCGCCCACCACACCACCCCCAACCCAACCCGAAGGCCCCAATGTGCCCTCCTCTCCCAGCGTGGGGGGGCGTCGGGGAACATCGAGAAAACACGCGCCCCCGTAATTTCCCCCCCCCCCCCCCCAAACCCGAAAGGGGGGTCGTCGGGTTGGGTTTTGGGGGGTGTCTTTTGGCAGGTAGCCACACGGAGCTCCGCGCCGATCTCTCTCGGAGTGGCGCTCGAGCCTCGCGGGGCCCTCCTCGAGGAGGAGGAGGAGGAGGAGGAGGAGGAGGAGGAGGAGGAGGAGGAGGAGGAGGAGGAGGAGGAGGAAGGGGAGGAGCACGAGGAGGAAGAGGCGATTCGAGCCTCCCTGGCGCGCGCCAGAGGGGCCCAGCGCAGACCCGAGGGGTCCGCGCGGAGCTCCGAGCGTCGACGTCCGTGCCGCGGTTGCTCCCTCCAACGGCGCGCCGACCTTCTGGGCGCGGCACCACGCCAGGTCTCTGCGGTGCCTGGCCCTCGAGGGCCTCCAGAAGGACACCCTGGCCTACCTGGCCCTGGCCGAGCACGCGGACGCCGCGCACCGGCTCCTGCCGCCGTTCTGCGGCGCGCTGCGGCAGCTGCAGATGCGGCTGGCCTCCCTGCGCGCGAGGCTGCCCAAGGTCAGGGGAGGAGTGCCCCAGCAAGACACCCCGATAGCAGCAAGGGGCAGCCCGGACTGGGGCGAGAGCACGGCCATGTGCACCTTAGTGCATTTGTCGTTCACATCTTGCGTGGGTTCTTGTTTTCCCAGAGCGCCCTCTCTGCCTTTCCTGCCCCTCATTTCCCAGAGCACCTTCTCCCTCCTCCCCTTCTCCTCCTCCTCCTCCTCCTCCTCCTCCTCCTCCTTCTCCCCCTCCTCTTCCTCCTCCTCTTCCTTCTTCTCTCCCTTCGTCTCTTCCTCCTCCTCCTCCTCCTCCTCCTCCTCCTCCTCTCCTTCGCCTCCGCCTCCTCCTCCTCCTCCTCCTCCTCCTCCTCCTCCTCGTCTTCCTCCTCGTTCTCCTTCCCTCCCTTTGCTTCCTCCTCCTCCTCCTCCTCTCTCTTCGCCTCCTCCTCCTCCTCCTCCTCCTCCTCCTCTTCCTCCTCTTCCTCCTCGTTCTCCTTCCCTCCCTTTTCCTCCTCCTCCTCCTCCTCCTCCGCTTTCTCCTCCGTAGCCGCTGTGGCTCAAGCGGCCCGCAGCGGGCGCCCCCCCTCTGCTCGAGCTGGCCAGTCCTGTCCCTCCGGCCTGGGCCGCAGGCGGAGCCTTTGATGAGGAGTCCGGGATGGCGACGGGAGGCCTGCGGGGTAGTGCTCGCAAGCCAGCAAGCAATTTGGCGCGCAGGCCCGGCAAGGAACGTGCTGAGCGGCGTATCCAAGGAGTCATCGACGAGGCAGTCAGCTCCGCCCTGGAAGAGCTGAAGGTCGTGGAGGGCGACGCCGTGGAGCTTGCTGCTCGCCTTGCGGCGCTTGACACGGCGTTACTGCTCCATTGCCAAGCCGACGTGCACTTCGGTGGGCACCATCATCGCCTGGGTGATGCTTTGCGCGAGGTTGCGGGCCTTGCTGGCGTTCCCCTGACTGGTTTGTACGTGCACGTGGAATCAAGGTTGCTTGTGACAGACCTCGGCGCGAACCGCTCCACGACGAGCCCTCGGTGGATGCCGACGTGCACGTCCAGTGCGAATGGAATTTGGACGCTCCGCAGCTCGTGCCTCAGGTTGCTTCCGCGGACGTCGAGCCACTCGACTTCACGGAGTCCGGGAGCCCGTCGAGGCGCACCTCGGTGGCGTGCGGCGCCCGTGCCGACGGTCGTTTTCTCATCGGTGCCCCTGGGCGGGCACAGAGGGCACTAATCAGCAAGTCCCCTCTGATGCCGTAGCGGCCGACGATGGGCCGCTGCCGCCTGCGGCGACCGCCGCGGACGCCGCTGCCGACGAGGAGCCTGGAGATGTGGAGGGTGATTCGGAGGTCGCTTCATAATTGAACAGCTTCTTCCAGGAGGCGTCAGGAAACAGGAGCTGGAGCTAGGCTGCTTCCTTTGTCTGCAGAGGCGTACTTTTCCCAGGCGGAGGCCCAGGTCCAGAGCTGGACGCTGGTCGGGCCCTGGAGGCGTCCAGCCTACAGCGAAATGTTGGGAAGCAATCCCCAGTGAAGCATTCTCCAGTGAACCGCCGATCGACCGGGCCAAACTTGGTGTTGAATCAGACGGTTGCGAGATCGCGATTATAATGCCGTGCTATGCTTGTATGTTACCTGGCTTTTCTTCCTCAACGTGTTCGTCGCGGAGATCGTGGCGACCAGAGGCGGGGGAGAGCGTTCTCTCGTTGTTTCGACGACCGCAGATAGCTCGATACTCGATACTTCTCCTTGTCCTCCTCTGCATGCAAATCCACATCCCCTTCGCTTGCAAGCCCTGTCCACTCCACCAGCCTCTGAGGTTTTGTTTTTGTTCCCTCCCCTCTCCACCAGCTACGCCAATCCCTCTCCCAGCGGCCGTGACTATTGCCACGTCCCGTGCCCTCCCCATTCCGCCAGCCTCACCGCTGAGGCCCCGTCAGACCGCGGAGGGCATCGGGACACCCTGCTATTTCGCAGGTTCTGTGCCCTTTCAACCACTATCCTCGCCAATGCCACCTGGCCTTCAGTAGTTCCCGCCATACCGCTGCAGGCACCCATATACCGTATCATGTATAAAGTTCCGTGCCTTTCTCGCACCACCAGCCTCCTAGGAGGTCCAGCGGGGTGGGGCACCGCGCACGCCAAGACTAGAGCTCGCGGATCCCGAGCGGGCCCCACGAGATTCCGAATGCGCTCCGACAGCAAGTCAGTTTTGCCATCGGTTTGTTCGGTTTTTTCTTTGTCCCTCGTGTTCGGTCCGCTTGGTTTGTCACATGTGCCCCCCCTGCCCCCTGGCCCTTGCCCAGCCTGCACCGCCCAGCTGCCCTGTGGCGCTCCGCCACTCTGCCGCCCGCCCCGCATAGCCGCGCTGGCTCGCCTCCTGGCGAGTGCCTCAGCGCCCGCTTCGCCGCGCTGGCCCGCTCAGCCCGCCGCCGCGCGCCCCAGCCGCCGCCTCTTTGCGCCCCCCGCCCGGGCGCCTCGGTCCGCCTGCCGCCCGCTGCCCCGGCCCCCTCGCTTGCTGGGCACCGCCCACACTGCGGCTGCTGGCCCCGCCCCTGGGTGCGCCCGCGCCGCCGCCCCGCGCCGTTGCCAGGGGCTGCGCCGCAGCCTGTCCGCCCGGTGCGCTCCCCACGGCGCCGCCGCGCGACAACGCCCCCTCTCCCTCCCCTTTCCGCGGCGCCGCCCTCCTGCCTGCGGGACAATATGCAATTTCGTAGTCCGATTTTGCTCTGCGCGCGAGCGGATCGCCTCTGCCGCGCCGCGACGGGAGAAGGTGTTTGACACTTGTGTATCGTTTGTTCGGTTTGCCTTTTTTTCCGGTCCCATTTGCTACGTTTGCGAGGTATTGGTTTGTGCCGGTCGTTCTGCTTTTCCAGTTGTATTAGGTGTTCGGTTTGTTCAAGCTGCCCCATCGGTTCTCGACGTTCGCCTGTTTCGTTTCGCCTGTTTCGTTCGCCTGTAAACGTTATATGTATGCGTTTTGGTTCGGTGTTTGGTTTGGTTTGTTGTTTGTGTGTTTACGTGTTGATTAGTTTATTTGTCTGTTTGTTTGTGTGTGCGTTTGGGGTTCAACCAGTTACTTTGCCGAGTGGGGTTGTCATGTGGTCCGTGTGTTGGATGGGTTCCGCGTGTTTGCCGACACATAATTTTGTTCGACATGCCCCAGTGGTTTAATTGAGTGCGATGTGTCGCATCTGTTCGGCTTGTTCGTTGTTTGTTCATTCGGCTTCATGCGTTCGTATTGTTCGATGCGCTCCGTCTGTTTTGCTTATTCTAGTTGTCGCGTGTGCCTGATTTGTTTGGTTTGGTCATCCTTCTAGTTTGTGAGATTTGTCCCACATGATTGGCAAAACAAGTGGGACGGAAAACCAATTATTGTGAAATTGCGCGGACAACCAGGGCGAACAGAGGGATCAGTGGACCACGGAGGTGGCCTTTGCGGGCCTCCTCGGGCCATCCCTGTGGCCCGCGCAGGGGCGAGGGAAGGAACAGGAAGAGGAGGACGAGGATGAGGAGGATGACGAAGAGGAGGCGGATGATGATGATGATGATGATGATGATGATGCTGATGATGATGATGCTGATGCTGATGCTGATGATGATGATGCTGATGTTGATGGTGATGTTGATGATGCTGATCATGATGAGGATGATGCTTCTGATCATGATGATGATCATGGGGATGATGATGACGATAACGATGCTGCAGATGATGATGATGATGCTGCTGATGGTGATGATGATTATGATGATGATGGTGATGATGATGAGGATGACGATGGTGCAGATGATGATGATGATGATGGTGATGGTGATGATGGTAATGATGGTGATGATGATGATGGATGATGATGATGATGATGATGATGATGATGATGATGATGATGATGATGATGGTGGTGGTGGTGGTGGTGGTGGTGGTGGTGGTGGTGGTGGTGATGATGAGATGATGATGACGATGGTGGTGGTGGTGGTGGTGGTGGTGGTGGTGGTTGTGGTGGTGGTGGTGGTGGTGGTGAGGAGGAGGAGGAGGAGGAGGGAGGAGGAGGCGACGGAAACGGAAACATGGGAACACGACTTTGAGGAAGAGGAGGAGGAGGAGGAGGAGGAGGAGGAGGAGGAGGAGGGGAGGAGGAGGAGGAGGAGGAGGAGGGGAGGAGGGGAGGAGGAGGAAGGAGGAGGAGGAGGAGGAGGAGGAGGAGGATAACGAGGAAGAGGAGGAGGTGGAGGAGGAAGAAGGGCTGCCAAGGCGACCACGGCGGCGCACAAGGAAACCATCGCTGCAGCGGTGGGTCGCCGCCAGTTTGGCGTGGGCCGCAAAAGCGGCAGCGAGCTCATGCACCACATCGAAGCGACCGCGCTGGAGCAGGACCCTGGCGCCGCGGTGCTCTCCTAGGACGTGGCTGGCGCGTTCAACGACTCTGCCAGGACACCCTGCTGCGGGAGGTCGCTGGCCGCCTTCCAGAATTCTCGCGGCTGGCGCAGACGTGGTACGGCGGGGCCACCACGCACGGGGCCCGCCTTCCTGGGGCCAGGGCGGCGCCGGTCAGGGCGGAACACGGGGTGGACCAGGGTTGCCCTTTCTCCCCGGCGTTTTTCGAGCTGGCGGTGGCGACTCTTTACGAGGATCTGGTGGCGGCGGCGCGCCGCCAGGACCCCAACGCCAAGGTGGTGGCCTACTTCGACGACGTGCACGTCGTGGGCAGCCCCTGCGCAGTGGCCGCCGCGCTCCTCGCGGCGCCAGCGCTCCTGGCGGCGCGCGGCCTCCGCCTGAGCACGCGGAAAACCAAGGTCTGGAACATTCGAGCCTTGCCTCTCCAGAGCCGCTGGCGAGGGCAGAAGTGCCCAACCTCGCGCGCGCGGGAAGCGCACGGTGCCCCACGTGCGCGACGCGGCGGGGGCAGACCCGGGCGCCGACCCCGCGAGGGCGAACCTTTCGCCGACGGCCCCGGCTCCGAGGGC